TTTTCACCTGACCCCAAACCCCAAACCCCATTTTCCACCTGACCCAAACTCCGTCGTTTTCACCTGACCCCAAACCCCAAACCCCAAATCCCAAACGCCACGTTCCACCTGACCCAAACCCCAAATCCCAAATGCCACGTTCCACCTGACCCAAACCCCAAATCCCAAACCCCAAATCCCAAACCCCAAACCCCAAACCCCAAATCCCAAACCCCACGTTCCACCTGACCCAAACCCTAAACCCCAAATCTCAAACCCAAACCCCAAATCCCAAACCCCATTTTCCACCTCACCCAACCCAAACCCTAAACCCCAAACCCCAAACCCCAAACCCCAAATCCCAAACCCCACGTTCCACCTGACCCAAACCCCAAACCCCAAACCCCACGTTCCACCTGACCCCAACCCCAAACCCCAAATCCCAAACCCCAAACCCCAAACCCCAAACCCCAAACCCCACGCTGCCCCTGGCCCAAACCGCGCAGTTTCACCTGTTTTTTTGGCTGGATGTTTTGCTGAGGGGGCGACTGAGGCACGAGGCCCTGGAACGGCGCCATCTGTGGGGAAGGCATCATGAGGGGGGAGGGGGCTTCCCGCAGGTGACCTGCAACAGGGGGGCAGCGGTCAGTCAGCGTCGCCACCGACCCCGAAAACCCCAGCACGGCCCCCAAGAACCCAAAATGTCCGTGAGGAACGTTGGGGTTTCCTCAAAGAACCCAAAATGTCCGTGAGGAACGTCGGGGTTTGCTCAAAGAAACCAAAAATGTCCTTGAGGAATGTCAAGATTTCCTCAAAGAACCCAAAATGTCCTTGAGGAACGTCGGGGTTTCCTCAAAGAATCCAAAAATGTTCTTGAGGAACGTCGGGGTTTCTTCAAACAACCCAAAATGACCTTGAGGAACGTTTGGGTTTCCTCAAAGAACCCAAAAATGTCCTTGAGGAACACCAGAGGTTTGCTCAAAGAACCCAAAATGTCCTTCAGGAACACTGGGGATTCCTGAAAGAATGCAAAAGGTCCTTGAGGAACACCAGGGCTTGAGGAATGTCGGATTTTGCTCAAAGAACCCAAAAATGTCCTTGAGGAATGTCAGAGTTTCCTCAAAGAACCCAAAAATGTTCTTGAGGAATGTCGGATTTTGCTCAAAGAACCCAAAAATGTCCTTGAAACACCAGAGAGTTTGCTCAAAGAACCCAAAAATGTTCTTGAGAAACACCAGAGGTTTGCTCAAAGAACACAAAATGTCCTTCAGGAACACTGGGGTTTCCTCAAAGAATCCAAAATGTCCTTGAAGAACATCAGGGTTTCCTCAAAGAACCCAAAATGTCCTTGAGGAACGTCGGGGTTTCCTCAAACAACACAAAATGTCCTTGAGGATCATCGGGGTTTCCTCAAAGAACCCAAAATGTCCTTCAGGAACACTGGGGTTTCCTCAAAGAATCCAAAATGTCCTTGAAGAACATCAGGGTTTCCTCAAAGAACCCAAAATGTCCTTCAGGAACACTGGGGTTTCCTCAAAGAATCCAAAATGTCCTTGAGGAACACCAGGGTTTCCTCAAAGAATGCAAAACGTCCTTGAAGAATCTCAGGGTTTCCTCAAACAAACCCAAAATGTCCTTGAGGAACGCCAGGGTTTCCTCAAAGAATGCAAAACGTCCTTGAAGAATCTCAGGGTTTCCTCAAACAAACCCAAAATGTCCTTGAGGAACGTCGGGGTTTCCTCAAAGAACCCAAAATGTCCTTGAGGAATGTCAGGGTTTCCTCAAACAACACAAAATGTCCTTGAGAAACACCAGAGAGTTTGCTCAAAGAACCCAAAAATGTTCTTGAGGAACATTGGGGTTTCCTTAAAGAACCCAAAATGTCCTTGAGGAACGTCAGGGTTTCCTCAAACAACACAAAATGTCCTTGAGAAACACCAGAGAGTTTGCTCAAAGAACCCAAAAATGTTCTTGAGGAACGTCGGGGTTTGCTCAAAGAACCCATAACGTCCTTGAGGAACGTCGGGGTTTCCTCAAAGAATCCAAAAATGTTCTTGAGGAACGTCGGGGTTTCTTCAAACAACCCAAAATGACCTTGAGGAACGTTTGGGTTTCCTCAAAGAACCCAAAAATGTCCTTGAGGAACACCAGAGGTTTGCTCAAAGAACCCAAAATGTCCTTCAGGAACACTGGGGATTCCTCAAAGAATGCAAAATGTCCTTGAGGAACACCAGGGTTTCCTCAAAGAATGCAAAACGTCCTTGAAGAATCTCAGGGTTTCCTCAAACAAACCCAAAATGTCCTTGAGGAACGTTGGGGTTTCCTCAAAGAACCCAAAATGTCCTTCAGGAACACTGGGGTTTCCTCAAAGAATCCAAAATGTCCTTCAGGAACACTGGGGTTTCCTCAAAGAATCCAAAATGTCCTTGAGGAACACCAGGGTTTCCTCAAAGAATGCAAAACGTCCTTGAAGAATCTCAGGGTTTCCTCAAAAGAACCCAAAATGTCCTTGAGGAACGTTGGGGTTTCCTCAAAGAACCCAAAAATGTCCTTGAAGAATCTCAGGGTTTCCTCAAGCAAACCCAAAATGTCCGTGAGGAACATCAGAGGTTTGCTCAAAGAACAGAAAATGTCCTTGAGGAACGTCAGGATTTCCTCAAAGAATCCAAAATGCACTTGAGGGACATCAGGATGTTCTCGAAGGACACCAGGATGGCCTAAAAGAACCCCAAAATGTCCTTGAGGAATGTCGGGGTTTCCTCAAACCTCAAGATTTTCTTGAGGGACACCAAGATGTTCTTATCCATCCATCCATCATCCATCATCCATCATCCATCCATCCATCCATCATCCATCCCTCATCCATCATCCATCCATCCCTCATCCATCCATCCACCATCCATCATCCATCCAAAAATGTCCGTGAGGAACATCAGAGGTTTGCTCAAAGAACCGAAAATGTCCTTGAGGAACGTCAGGATTTCCTCAAAGAATCCAAAATGTACTTGAGGGTCATCAGGATGTTCTCAAAGGACACCAGGATGGCCTAAAAGAACCCCAAAATGTCCTTGAGGAATGTCGGGGTTTGCTCAAAGAACCCAAAATGTCCTTGAGGAATGTCAGGGTTTCCTCAAAGAACCCAAAATGTCCTTGAGGAATGTTGGGGTTTGCTCAAAGAACCCAAAATGTTCTTGACGAACGTTGGAGTATCCTCAAAGAACCCAAAAATGTCCTTGAGGAATGTCAGAGTTTCCTCAAAGAACCCAAAAATGTTCTTGAGGAATGTCGGATTTTGCTCAAAGAACCCAAAAATGTCCTTGAGGAATGTCAGGGTTTCCTCAAAGAACCCAAAATGTCCTTGAGGAACATCAGGGTTTTCTCAAAGAACCCAAAATGTCCGTGAGGAACGTTGGGGTTTCCTCAAAGAACCCAAAACGTCCTTGAGGAACGTTGGGGTTTGCTCAAAGAAACCAAAATGTCCTTGAGGAATGTTGGGGTTTCCACAAAGAACCCAAAAATGTTCTTGAGGAACGTCAGGGTTGGCTCAAAGAAACCAAAAATGTCCTTGAAGAATGTCGGGGTTTCCTCAAAGAACCCAAAAATGTCCTTGAGGAATGTCAGGGTTTCCTCAAAGAACGTCAAGACGTTCTTGACGGACACCAAGACGTTCTTATCCATCCACCATCCATCCCTCATCCATCATCCATCCCTCATCCATCATCCATCCATCCATCCATCCCTCATCCATCATCATCATCCATCCCTCATCCATCATCCATCCCTCATCCATCATCCATCCCTCATCCATCATCCATCCCTCATCCATCATCCATCCCTCATCCATCATCCATCCCTCATCCATCATCCATCCCTCATCCATCATCCATCCCTCATCCATCATCCATCCCTCATCCATCATCCATCCATCCATCCATCCATCCCTCATCCATCCATCCATCCATCCATCCATCCATCCATCCATCATCCATCCATCCATCCATCCATCCATCCATCCATCCATCCATCATTATCCATCATCCATCCATCCATCCATCATCCATCCATCATCCATCATCCATCCATCCATCATCCATCCATCATCCATCCATTCATCCATCCATCCATCATCCATCCATCCATCCATCATCCATCCATCATCCCATCCATCCATC